ATTTTCTGGTTAGCTTCCTCCATTTTGTATCAAAAGTCTCCATGTACAAGTAGCGAAATGCCTTCCTAGCCCAACGCTCCTCCCCCATTTCTCTCAATTGCTTTTCAAGCTTTATTTTGCGGTTAGCTTCCCCGCCCTCAAATGATGGCCATCCCATATCACCTTGAACTCCCCGATTTGGTGTGTTCCCGTGAGCTCCTAAGGCAAGCCGACCTATTCCACGTTGCTTAATTTCTAATCTTGCTTGAACTTCTGATCTCATGCACAAGACCGCATTGCCGAACGTCAGCCCAGGAACCATGACCCCTTTCCACATTTCTCTCACAACATCATACCTATTGTAACTCCACAGTGCCCTATTTTTCATCACTGCTGCATTCCTTTTACCTTTAGTCGTCACGTATATTTCGTGTTCCCTCAGGTGCTCGGTCCCATTGCTTATCCATACGCCCAGAGATTTGTATTTATCTGCTATCTCTAGCGTGACCTCCTGCATTCTAAGCTCACTACCTTCGTTATCATTAAAAATCACGACTGCCGATTTTTCTTTACTGAATCTGAAATCTAACCTATCTCCCTCATTACCGTCCATCAATCTCTGCAAATCTTTCAGAGATTGAGATCAATCACCTTGCAGATGATTAGCAAGATATCATCTGCATACATTAATGCTGGTAGTGCCAGATCAATGAGTTTTCCTTCTTTGACTAAAGAGAGGTTGAAGCCCAGTCCACTTCCCTCTAATTTGGCCTCTAATCTTTTTAGGTACATCATGAATAAGGGTGACAGAGGACACTCCTGCCTAAGCCCCCGTTTTACCTCTGCCGGCTTGGAGACCTGTTTTCTTTTTTCACTTTATAACTAAATTGTTACCTTTATAGATATCCTTCAAAAGATTAGTGATCCATCTTCCACGCCTAGTGTGTCCAGTATTCCCCACAATTCCTCTTGAACCACGCTATCATACACTCCCTTGATATCCAAAAATGCTAGCCACAGGGAACTGTATTCCTTTTCTGCTGTTTGGTCTCACTGGTGGCGAAAGAGCGTGCCAACGTTCGAGGCAGGTCTCGGCTGGATGTGCGATCGGAAGAACTCGTCGACGTCCTTGGTGTGCTGTTCTGTTAATGGAATACGGCTGGGTGACAGGCCCAAGGATCTGGTGGTGCGCTGCTGATCCGGCGGCCGTCCCTGACTGTTGGGCAACCGATGGACGACACCTGCAGTCTGGCTGGGCGACTGACCCAGGGTTCAGGCAGGGCGCCACGGTTCCTGCTGCCATGCAAAGTGGTTGTGAGATCGGTCTGCTGTTCCAGATGGCTGGTATAACCCTGGTGCGCTGCCAAAACAAGTGCAGTGGCTGGTGAGCTACCGTACTTCTGTAGGTGCAGAAGATAGCCATGCCATGAAATGGCCAGACTCAGGGCGAGGACAACAACGAGCCGGAGGTGCACTGTCCCGAGTGAGTGGCAATGAAAGAAGCCACGGGCAAAAAACAGCGAGAGACATTCAATTCAGACGCGCATTTAAAAAAGGACGGCACAGGACAACCTAACGTTAGCTATGCGTCATTACCATTTTGACCATAAAAATATAATTTTGTTTTTGTGTGCACACTCGTATATCGGTTGACTTCCTTAGCTAGCGATCTTGGGCCCATTAATAACACGGTATTACATCACAGAGTGAAACGTACAAGCATTTTGCGGTGCCATTAGTAGAGTTACTGTCTTTTACAACATTGGAACTGACCACAGCCATCACACCAAGTTCGGCCATTGCTTGTTGAATCTGATGCACAAAATTTGATACAGCACCAATCACGCCGAAGCTGATGCAATTCTGTAACAGTGCAATTGAGAGATATGCTATATGCACATCTTCCAAGAGAGAAATTCTTAAAACTCCCGAGCGGGGAAGGGGTTGGTATTTTTTAAAAATTGTAGCTGTGATAGATTTAACTTTAACCATAAGGATAATGATGTTTTGCTGCCATAAGTCACATTGATGTGCTGAATGTGCCTCCCCGCTTGGCACCAAAAAACAAAACAAAAATAAAAAAAAACAAAAGCAGAGGCGGGGGGGGGGGCAAGCTTAAATGTTTATCGCCGTTGCACTCTCATAATGGCTCAGTGACCGAACACACGAGGGTAGCGTTTCTAGCTAAGGTGAAAGTCTCAAAAGGGGAGCACAAATGCTTCGAAATTTTGCGTCATCAAAACAACTAGCAAAAAAATAGATTTCCATGAATACACCTCTCATGTCTTGACACAGCAACAGTGAAGCTGGCTACCGCGAAAGCGCGGGTCAGAGCTTTTGCTTTGCTCGATACTATTTTGGAGAGGAATGCCAAAGCCGTTTGAGTCTTATTTACGACTTACCACCTTTAGTCTACCGCTGCACCAGCCATGTGCCCTCAGAGCTCATAGATCGCATCGCCACGAGCGCAGTTTTGTGCGCGGCTTTTGCGGTTAACGGTAGTTTTGTTTTCAATCTCCGTGCCGACAAAACTAAGTCCTTTTATGCCAGCTATGATTGCAACTGCCACAGTTTTGTCCGAGTTTGCGGAATGCATTCGACTGGTCGATTGTTGGCGCCACACTTTCGGAGTTCTGCCACTAACGTGGCCATACATGATGTGTCGAATGGCCGTCGTTTCATCCACAGTGGTTGTGGCAACAACCACATGCACTGTAGATCACGGTGCGTGCGGCTGTCGCATGCATACTTCCGAAGCTACGATCGAGCACGGTGCTCTTGACCGGCTTTTGTACAACGGTTTGGGTACTGCAGTTCATACCACACCCTGCGATTAGGACAAGTGTTGGGAACATTCGAACTTCGTCCCGATGGACACACGAATTGAGCTGGGGAAATTTAACAAATTTGTCCCAATTAATCTGAAACAGATGGTGTTTGCACAGCCAGTATGTCACTTTGCAGCACAGACGCGAGGAGTAGAACCGCAATGTACCCGGAGGTTTTACCTGGCTTGGGTTCGAGCTCTTTTGTACTGCTGCAATTTCGCATCACTGAGAGTCCACTGTACGTTCAGATGAACGCCTTCCAAGTTTGTTTATAAAGTGCGGTGGGCTCACAAACAGCCTGGAACAAACTGACCTGCATTTTTTGTCAATGTGGCCAGATCTCGCACACAAATTTCAATTTACGGGATATTTTCATGGCAACTATACAATCCGAAGAAACGGTTGAATTCCGGGAGTCTCCTGGACAATGTGAAAGACTTGGCAAATATGCACATACCTGCCAATTCTTCCGAATTTCCCGTAAAATGTACACATTTCGAGCACGCTTACAAATCTTGCCTAAAACTTAAACAAAACTAGATTTAGTAAACTAGCATGGCCTCCGCAATTGGCTACGGTGCATTGCCTTAGCTAGTGGCAGAGGCCACAAAAACGAAGTTGTGCTATATGCGCCACCAAGAGAGAACAATATCTATTGGTGTTAATGTGTGCATGAAGCATCTTTGGCACAATATATTGAAGTGTTCCATGTTGACTGCACTGAGCAAGCCTTGGTGTCGAGACTATGCATTTTTCAGTCAAATGGGTTGTAGTGAAGGCGTTAAGGCAAATGCCATTCGATATCCGAACGTGGCGGCACATAAATGGCATTAAATATTACGGCAAAAGGAGCTTAATTGCATTCTTTGCGCCAGTGTATCAGGAGCTCTGGTGCAGCCGCTCCCCTTTGGCCTACTGGGAAGGGGGCCCAGCGTGTCCCGGAGGCCACCACACGGAGGCGGGAGCGGCAGGGGCCAACAGCCCCGGACCCCCTTCTCTTCGCACAGCATTTGCCAGAGCTCTACTTTGTTGCAAGCTAAGTTTTAGGAGCGAAGCTCCTTAAGGCGTGGGCTGTGCGTCCCCTGTATGTAGCCACCTCTTGTTCAGTTCTAAGTATTACGCTAGCTACCGCCCGATCTAAAGGGTACAGCCATATCCATCCGTCCGTCCCTCCATCCGTCTGTCCGTCCATCCAAAAGATGCAAGATGTTATAAACTAGACGGCGGTACATGTAGTTGATTATGAAAGATGCGAGGTGTTATAAAATAGGAATGATGCCACATATGGCGCGTGTCATCGTTCGATATAGTGCGGCGACGTACGCTAGGGGGAGCGTTGCAATAAAATCGAGTGGGCAAAATGTACGGAGGATTCATGGTTTACCAGGTTTACCTCCGGAGCTTCACCCACTCATCATCATTCACTTCGTGGATATGGCGGCATTTTTTTCACTCACAACACTGTCACATGATCTGTCTTTTTCCGTGCTGCATATGACGTTTTCTTCAGACAACTAGGAGCTTCCCCTATACTGTTGAAACTCGCACAGATTCAACAGTGACCCGTATAAAATTCAAACACAAATACCCATGGCACACGAACTGCCTTGACCGAAACTGTGGTTATGGCCAACTCAAATGATTACAGACAGCCCACATAGCTGGGTATGGCAGACAAGCTGCAACAGTGGGATGGTGCAACAACTCTGGACAACATGTTAGTTGAGAAATTATAGAGAAAGCAACTGCAGTTGGCAAACGATGAGTCAAACGAAATCCTTTGAAAGCGAAGAACCATGCAATGGCCAAGACAAAGACATTGGCTACAGCAAGGGTCTCGACAAAAGAATTTTATCTAGCGATGCTTAGCCAATGCACATAGCCACAAATGCTAAGTATGTAGAAGACAGCGGGAAAGTGTTGCCTTGTACGACACTTGTTAGGGGTGTGGCCACATGGAATGTTCGTGGGAAGTACTAGAACTTCTATTGCAACCTGTCAATATGCCATTTCATCAGCTTGCTCAACTGAAATAATAGGGCCCTGCTATCAGTGCAACGCATGCAGACATTTATTTTGCTAACTCTGTGAAACACTGAGGCACAACAAAGCTGTCTGCGTGAGAGGGATATATGACAAAACGATGTATTATGTAAAAAAAAGGGTGCAGAGAACAGTCCTGACCATAGCAAAGTAAAGAGAACACTGTGCCTGCCTGGTGGGCTCCAGACGGTAATGACACGTTTTTATTAGTCTTGAATCAGTCATTGTCCTCATCATCTTCCTCTTCCTCATTGTTGATCTGGAAGTACCGCAGCTCAAAGGCATCCTTTGTGGTGGCCACCACTCGGAGCCAGTCCCGAAGGTTGTTCTTCTTCAGGTACTTCTTTGTCAGATACTTTAGGTACCTGCACAAGATTGCATTATCACTTGGCTTAGCCTTTACTATTGCAAACAAAAAACAAATCAAGCATTTTAATAAAGGGATGAAATTCGAAAAGACAACCATGAAGATCACCTATGGAATCTTCCAAGGAGCAGCACGTTTGCCGTTTCGTCGCAGGTTTGAGGCATAGAGCATGACTTAAGGGAAGACGCGGGTCTTAGAAAAGTAAAAAATGGCCAAAAAATCGATTTTGAGAAAAACGCATTTTTCGAATCTTTGAACCTATAAGCACCTCTCCTCAAATTTTTAACGCTAAATTCGATAAAAAATAGGTTAAAATCTATTTTCAAACCATCACGGGAGTCACAAAACGACCCGCCAAACAGAAAATTTGTTCGAACTTCCCGTGCGCGCCGCCAGCGAAGCAGCCTGCGGATCGGCGCCATCTTGAGCTTGTTTTGAAGCTGGTTCCTTTGTACGCGTTTTGCGGGCTCTCAAAATGGCGTAGCTCCAACACAACGACTGCCCTCCCAAGTTTTGCGAAGCTGTCTGCCGGACCGCTGATTGGCTAGAGCGCGGCGGCGCGGCCACGGTTGCACGCTCTTTTTTTTTTGTTTGGTTTTGCTCCATCGGCGCCTGCTCTCGTGCGTGTTGTCTCGTCTGCTACCCGCTCGTGTACCGACGTCGCCGACGTATACGTCTTTCTGCATTTCGCCGGCATGGCTTGGGAAGCTCGCCTGAAGAAGAACACTCGTCAAGCTTTCGGCAGGAAACGAAAGCGAGCGTGGAATGCGCGGCAGAAGGGAGCGGCCTGCGCGCCGCCGAGAACCCCGGAGATGGCCGAGGCAGCGCATTGATGAAGGATGTCTGGGACAAAAATGTGTGTTTTACTTGAAATAGTGTTTTATGTATAAAAGGGCGATGTTTTTATATATAACATGTGTTTTCCTTTGGTTTTCAGTGCACTAGAACATCCACAAAGTTGTAGACTGGGTTCCTTATACTGATTCAACGGCCAGTACACAGTTTTTAAATGAGCTGTGGCAAATATTTTGGGAAGGTGCATTGACACATTTGGTACAGCCACACTCACATAATGTAGAGCTATACAACGGTGCCATTTTTACTGCTCTAGCTTCACTTTAGCAAAAGTTACAGTTATTAGAAACTTTAAATGCGTTTTTCTCAGTTCGATGTTTTTGTGCACCACACTAACCCTTAGGGGTTTTTCTTATATGTTACTGTTGATTGAGAATGGCAAACTTGGTATCATTTTATTTGTAATAACATTACCTATGGGGTGATGCTATTTTGATTACTCTAGAAGCATACTGTTAATTACAATTATGGATAGTAATGAGCGAAAATTGAACAGAATATCCCTTGTAAGTGCTGGTCTGTTTTCTTATCTATATAATGCCTAAAAATTAATAAATATAGCACCACCCCATACAGAAAGCCCTCAGCATTGGGGCTATGCATTTATTTTTTGGATCTGGCTTGATTAAGTTGCCAAAAAGCCCCCAATGAAGTGCATAATTAATTAAATTACAGATGTTAATATCTTTTTATCCACTGAAGCTATATCAGAAACAATTACATATTTGAAATCAGCATGAAAAACTGTCCAAGATGGTGAGGTGTGGTCAAGATTGAGCCAAAAACAAAAAAAATTTTAGACCCATGTCCCCCCCTTAAAGGGGTACTGACATAAAATTTTGGGGCAGAGATAGCCTGCGGGGTCGCTTTTCGTGAGCATTTGTATATCATCTGCGAGATATCAACAGCGAATATAGCTTGAAAGGTATTTGAAATTCATTTTGAAGTTTGCGGGAGCGGCCGATTCCATAGCGCTAGAGACACCATGGGAGGGGACCCCGAGGTAACCCCTACTTCCGTTACGTCACCACGCTACGGTTAACAAAACAAGTAATGATTACGTCATAGCCGCCATTTTTCTTTTGCTGTGTTAGTTCTCGCAGTCTATACTTCTCGACGGCCGGTTGCGAGTGCGTGGTCTTGGCACACGCTTATAAAGTTATGTGTTTGGGGACATTCCAGTCCCAATTCCTATTCGAAAGTAATTCTTCATACGAATCGTGCGGAAGTGCGTCACGGTTTTGTGTGCTGACGTGGTCAAGAGCTGCACATGCTAGGTGGCGACAGTTGCACCCAGTTTTTGGAGTTCTCTCATACTGAAACGAATTGATAATAAGGGGCCTGTAAATTATTATCTGTCGTGTGCTGCATCAAACGACGCGTCGTGTCACGACTAACAGGAGCCCAGCAACGCATTGCAGCAGAAAACGCGAGGCCAAAAAACCTTGGCCTTGCAGAGTGTTAGCAGAGCTAACACTCAGCTTGTAACTTTTCTTACTCTGACACCACATGTTAGTGCCATAGCGGCCAATGGTGTCGCATGGTCGCCAGGAAGTCTAAAAGTGCGATTTCATACGGGCGCCACATTGTGTCGAAATATTTGGAGTGTCTAATGCTCATTGAAGCAGAGAAAATTGCAACAAAGAAGTTTAAAGGGACACTAAAGGCAACTATAAAGTCGACGTTGATTGTTGAAATAGCGGTCCAGAAACATGGTAGTGATACTTTTGTGCCAAGGAAGAGTTTATTTTGAAACAAAATAACGTTTTAGTGGCCGGCAACCGGTTAGCGCACTTCAAGTTACCCGCATCAAGAAGTGGTCCAGCTCACGTCACTGTTGCCGTGCACAACATTACCTGGTTTTACTGCGTGGTTGCCGACACTAGTAGACAGAATGAAAGCAGTGCGATACAGCAGAAACAACAGCCATTGATCAATTTCCCGCCATGGGCTCCGAGATGGCAGAGGTATTTTTGGTTCAACTGCGCCTTGCTAGATGACACAATCTGCCTAGTGTAACTACGTGAAAAGCGAATTTTCGAACCACTCGTGCCATTCTTCATAGTGCAGCGGTTATTTTTGCCGTAAATCAAACAGTAACGATCAAGCAGCATTTTGTTACGTCTTTTGATGCACGGAAGGTTCTTTATTTAGTGCTGCTAGATTGAATACTAGTGATTATTGTAGATAGTTCGTCTGATGTGACTGGTATTGTAGCGTACTTGCCCCACGGAGGCGCGAAAAGAAGGCACCTACACTCCTTGAAGCTCTTCCGCGCTTCACATGGTGCAAAAACAAGAGTCTGGTGACTGGCGGCCTCGTGGTGATTATCGGGCACTCAATGCTGTGACAACGGCAGACCAATATCCTCTCCCCCAAATCCATGATTTCACCGCTCGCCTCGCGGGAACGACGATCTTCACTAAGCTGGATCTGACGGCCGCTTATCACCAGATTCCAGGAGAACCAAGCGACATCCCAAAGACGGCCTTGACAACACCTTTCCGCCTCTGAATTTGTTCGTATGCCGTACGGACTGAAGAACACGGTACGAACTTTTCAGCGTTTCATGAATGAGTTCACTCGCGGACTGCTCTTTGTTTTTGTCTACTTAGACGACATTTTGGTCGCCAGCAAAACGCCGGAGGAGCATGAAAATCACCTGCGCCTCCTCTTCAAGCGTCTTGACAAGCACGGTCTGGTTTTGAAGCCCCAAAAGTGCATCTTTGGTGTTAAAGCACTAGATTTCCTATATCATCGAATCACTCCCGCAAGGCATCTTGCCGCTCGAATCACGGGTGCAAGCAGTCAGGGAATTCCCCTCGCCTACCTCTTTCCGCAAGTTGCGCGAGTTTCTCGGGCTAATCAACTTCCGTAGGCGCTTCATCTCATCCTGTGCACACATTCTACAGCCACTAACTGACTTGCTGCGCCAGGACGGCAAGAAAACGCCCGAGTTTCACTGGTCAGCGGAGCACAAAAAAGCCTTCCAGGATGCGAAAACTCAACTTGCCTCCACAACACTTCTGATGCACCCGCTTTCCGACGCGCCAACGCGGCTCATGGTTGACGCTTCAACGACGGCAGTGGGAGCAGTGTTGCAACAATACGACGGCAAGGACTGGAAACCGATAGGTTTCTCTTCTAAAAAACGCCTGAAACAGGCAGAAGTGCGCTACAGCACCTTTGGAAGAGGGATGCTGGCCATTTATTCTTCTGTACAGCATTTCCGTCTCTTCCTAGAAGGCCGCATTTTCCCCATTTTAACGGACCACAAGCCGCTGACGTATGCGTTCAAGAACAACAGTTCCTCATATTTGGAAAGAGAACTGCGCCAACTTTCTTTCATTTCCGAATTTTTCACGGACATCCGCCACATAGCGGGGAGCGAAAAACAAGCAGCCGACGCACTCTCCCGTACCGACACCGTTTCAGCGTCCGTCGACTTTGAGACATTAGCCGCCGCCTAGCGGGAAGACCCAGAGGTAACCGAGATGAGGCAAAATTCACTGTCACTAGTGCTCGAAGAGATCCCGCTACCATACACAACGACTATGGTCACATGCGACACATCGCAGAAATCTCCAAGACCCTTCGTCGCCGTTCAGTTTCGGCGTGCAGTGTTTGACAGGCTTCACGACCTCAGCCACCCAGGAATCAGTGCGACGTAGAGGCTCGTAACTGACCGCTTTGTGTGGCTCGGAATTAACGACGACGTTCGCATTGGGCGAAGACGTGCCGAACATGTCACGCAGTCAAGGTAACTCTTCACACTGCACACAGCACTCTCCAAGAATTTTGGCCACCAGAGAGTCGTTTCGACCACGTGCACTTGGACTTGGTGGGACCTCTTCCTCCTTCTCAGGGTTACAGATACCTGCTCACTTGTGTCGATCGATATTCACGGTGGCCCGAGGCGGTGCCGATTCTGGACATCGCAGCCGGGACCGTCGCACAGGCGTTTGTGGTCATATGGGTTTCACGCTATGGCTGCCCACTGCGCATAACAACCGATCGTGGACAAGTCCAGAGCAACCTATTCTCTGCGCTGGCAAGGCTTCTGGGAACATGGCTCCAGTACACCACGGCTTATCATCCAGCGAGCAATGGAATGGTGAAGCGGCTACACCTGTCAACTGAAGG